AACATACACTCGTTTTCATCCTTCTCTCCACTCTCTGAGGCAGAAGTCTCTAAACTCATCCTTTCCAATCATCCTAATACTTGTCAGCTTGATCCTATTCCATCTCATCTCCTCCAAGCCATTTCTCCTGCCGTTGTACCTGCACTCACTCACATCGTTAACACATCCCTTCACACTGGTGTTTTTCCCTCAACATTTAAACAGGCTCCTATAACCCAACTTCTTAAGAAACCCACTCTTAACAATCAATAAATAGAACAAAATAAAAAATAAAGACTGCAAGTGACGTCAATTGCGGAAGTGCAGGTGTCTGAGAGTACAAGTGCACGTCTGCAGCCAGACCCTGTTGTGCAATTTCTTTAAAGGAATAGTTCACCTGAAAATATAAATTAGGTCATTGTTTAGTCACTCTCATCTCATTCCAAACCTGTAGTCTGTTATTTGTATGCATGTATTTATGAAAAAAAAAACATTGACATCAAAATAGCATTTGTTCTAGCATGTCATTCATTCATTTACTTACTTGCTCTTCAAAAGATTTGTGCCAGGAGGTTTTTTTTGTGTGCAATGATACATTAATTAAATTGATCAAAAGTGACAGTAAGTACAGTAAAGTGACAGAAAAAAATATATAATGAAATGATTTCTATTTCAAATGAATGCTGTCAACTTTTTATTCAACACAAAATCCTAAAAAAAAATAAAAAAATAAATGTGCAGCTAAGCGGATTAGTGTATTATTTACATATATAACATAGTTGTTCCAGGCCTGTATGAGTTTCTTCTGCTGAACACAAGAATGTTGGTAACCAGACAGTTGCTGGTAGCCATTGATTTCCATAGTATGGGAAAATCCTTTAACTCTCTGTTATATTCTAAGTAGACATGCACTTTTCCGATATAACTTGCGTCAAATGCCTGACAGGAAAACTCAAAAGCTGCTGACCCATAATGCACTTTCATAGACTTATTGTAAACAATTAAATGTAATAACTTGAAATGATTTTTCTTTCAGTTGATGTCCCCGTCTCTTCCATTCCTCAACTGAACACACTGTTTAACTCAGATTTTTTTTTCTTGGTCTGCCCAATGACATATGGGAGAAGTATTGGGAATCCTGTCTGAAAAGAGTAATTTTTCCAATTCCAATGGTTGATGGTGCAGACACCATACACTTTTACATATTTTATTTTTTTGTGTGTGTAATCAGTAGCAAGAGTTGTTTGTGTCATTTTGTTAAAGTGCACTAAACACATAAGCATTCTCATGAATAAGTTCCACTGTGCATTAAAGCATCTTAAATTATTCAAGAGTATGTAATTGTGTCCAGGCCAGTCCATAAATACAACAGATTGACCCTGTAATTAACCTCACCATGTGTTCTGTCTTAGCACAATCATTTGTACAGCTGTGAGGGCATTAACATTCATGTTTCTCTGAAAGAAATAGCCCAAAGCCGTTCAATGTCAAGTAAATATGTTTCAATAGTCTTGCGGGCCCTTGCTAAGCCAATTCTTTTGGGTAAATCACCATGCCGAACATGAATCTGTACAAAGTATAACCTTTTTGATTTGAGTCTTCTCTATCCACTGTAGTGCTGTTGCTATTGCCATCATATCTACTGTGTATACTGATAAATGATCTGACAAAAATGTTTAAGGATGGAATACTGAATGCAAAACCTGTTCTCCCTGTATTAGGATCTTTAGATCCATCAGTATATACTGGAGCAAATACTTGATATACAGTTTGTAGTCTATCTTCAATAACAGCTACAATGTTTTCAGGTTCTTTCATTAACTCCAGCATCTAAAAAGCTATGAGTACTGCAGGAAACATCCAAGGTGGCGTTATGCAAAACCTGTTCTCCCTGTATTAGGATCTTTAGATCCATACTGGAGCAAATACTTGATATACAGTTTGTAGTCTATCTTCAATAACAGCTACAATGTTTTCAGGTTCTTTCATTAACTCCAGCATCTAAAAAGCTATGAGTACTGCAGGAAACATCCAAGGTGGCGTTATTGATAACGGTACTGCAGGAATGTATCTTTTCTGACTTAAAATCATTTCTCTAGCTTCTTTGTCACTATTCCATGCAAAACACTTCTGTTTAGACCAGGGGTGCCCAAACTCGGTCCTGGAGGGCACCGCGGTGTCCTGCAGAGTTTAGCTCCAACTTGCCTCAACACACCTGCTGGTAAGTTTCTAGTATGCCTATAAGAGCTTGATTAGCTGGTTCAGGTGTGTTTAACTGGGGTTGGAGCTAAACTCTGCAGGACGCCGGCCCTCCAGGACCGAGGTTGGGCACCCCTGGTTTAGACCTTTCCTTTTAACTCGACGAGTTTTCCCACCGCAAACTTTCTGTAGGATGAACAAACCCCACGAGTTCTGCCCCTAGTGTTCAACAAGACTCAAGTAATCGATCGCAAACCTTGTGCCAATCTAATTGATCACCGATAACGCTTTATTATTATTATTATTATTATTATTTGCTTACTTACAAGGACAATCCATCTAGAGAAACCTAGGGTTATGTGCATACTTCAAGGACACAATGGAAATAATGGATTACCTTGTGGGAACCAGTCACCAGCCCTGAGCCACAACACCATTCACACCAGTCACCAGACTCCAAACTCAGACTGGAATGTCAAATCCACTTACGTATCATTTTTGTTTGCACAGAGCATTTTATGACATTCACAAGATGGTTGATCCACTCACCAGGAGACACCCAGTTGTGGGCAAGCGAGAGAGAGAGAGAGAGAGAGACTGTGGATAACCTCTATTTCCCTCTATATGGCTGTCCAAACATCCCCCCTGGTGGTATAGGAAAAAATATGATGACTTGTGCTTCAAAGTCACCATAGAGGATTGATTGATAAGGAAAAAAGAAAAGAAAAGAAAAGCTCTTTGACTTGGAGGCCCCCCATTGGCCAAGGCAATATTGGAAGGCTCCCCATGTAGACTAAGATAGTTCCTCTCGTACAACTGCTGTAATGATGACAAAGCTACGTGTGTTCAGACTTTTTATGAACAGAAGTAACAATAGATTAAAATAAATAACTATGATTTGATTTCAGAAGTTTAGCGAGTTTTTTTTCTTCAATTTTAATCAAGTAAAATACTGAAGTTCATTTTTTTTAATATATATTATTATTATATATTTTAATGTTCTGATCTATATATAATTATATATATTTAACTTGAATGTTAAAGCCTCTATATGTCATGCACTTTTCAGATTTTTGAATCTTGTCAAAGGTTATGAAAAAAAAACAAAAAACATGGGGACCCCAAACAGAACATGAGGGTTAAATAAACTCCCATGTAGGTTTTAAACAAGGTAAATCGTGTCACTGGTTACAGATTAAAACAGTTGTCACAATATTCTAATCATCCCAGCTCATCAGAGTGCGAGTTGTGCGTTTTTGCGCGTCCTGACGCACTTTGTGTTGTGCTGCGCACGGCGCCATCAGATCCGCTCAGAAAGCAAATGCACCCGGTCTGGACTGCCAGGATGACTTTCAACAGAGCAGCAACACAGTTATCTGTTCATCCACGAGGATTTTCTACATAACATACACAAGTTCTACAAGCAAGAATGAGAAAAAGAGGATTATAATGTGATTAGGGATGATTTTGCGATGCTTTACGAGTCACCACTGCGGGAGGCTGAAGAATCGTCAGCTTGACAGTGAACAGATTTCCACGAGATTCCCACGGAGCGAGATGAACAACCCGCCGGTGTGATCGTGCATATGGAGAGCGCGATCCACGGCGCGTGAACGCACGCACGGAGATCAGTGTATTCTCTGCGCTTTGGACACTTTGGACACCATTCTTAGCGGGTATTCTTAGAAATCTTCGTCTCCAGATACAGTTTCATTTTTAGTTTATCTGTTTGTATTTTGCGTTACTTATTTATTTCCAACGAAACACTAACAGACACATAAATTATGTTGAAATAAAGGGATTTTTCAAACCACTCATACAATAGGTGAGTTTGCATCTAATATTTGGTGTATCTTAAAAAAATAAAAGACAAAAAATTAACTTTTCCGTTTAAGTTACACAGAAAAGCGCTTGATAAGAGCCTTGCACCCGTTTAAGTCAATGCATGTGCTGCAGTATTTTGGGAGGGGAGCCTGTTTATTATATTTCAATGGCTTTTTGTCAGATTCTGATTCTCGTGATAGCAGCTTAAGGTTTAGGATTGTCTGTGGAGAAAACAGGCTAATGTAAGAGTCGTCTTGTGGTGATGTTTGAGTTCTGGTTATATAGTTTATGCATATACGTTTTTGTGCTTTTGTAATATGCGCTACAATATTCATAAACTTTCAGCGACTTTTGGACAGTGCAGTAAAAAAAAAAAAACTCATTATGTTTGGCAGTTTCATCAAGGCGCAGTCTTGTGGTTTGTTTTAGTGAACGAGCCTGAATAACTTTTCCATTTAAGTTACACAGAAAAGCTTTTCTTTTTTTTTTTGATAATGGGTTGCATCCACCTGTTTTAGTCCATGCGCATGCATGTGCTGCAGAATTTGGGAGGGGGAGCCTGTTTATTATGTTTCAGCGGGCATATGTTTTATTCATATTCTGATTCTCAAAGTACCCTAACATAATGAGTTTTGTATGTTTACAGCAAGATTGTCTGTACCCAAAGAACACATATCGCATACACATACTCTTATGGGGTTCTTTGAGTTTTGGCCATGCATTTAAATAATTAATTCATGCATAAATTACGGAATATGTACGGACAGTGGCCCAGTATGATAAAACCATCTATTTTTGTCAATCGGAGACGCTGGGGTGCGGATAAATGTGCGCTATCTTTTTTTTTTTTCCAGTGTCACTCCACGGACAGCTTCTTCAGTCTCCATCCATCCTTCTTTCGAGCTATATAGGATGCAGCAGGAATGATCCCGGTCCAGCGCTTTAAAGCTCAGCCTCAGCTGTGGCACGTGAGCGCCGAAGCTCCTCCGTGGCTCTGGATGGTCCCGAACACCTCCGGACTGTGTAGGGTGGGTTCTGCTCCTCCGGTGCTCATCTCCTCTCGCCCTCCTCCAGTGATTCAGACGGTCTCGGGATGGCAGCTGTCCTGCGATCCGTTTGTGCCTGTGATGCGCACTGCCGCCGCGGAACCAGCGACCATCAGTCAGTTCAGTCTGCCCAGTGTTCAGGTAACAGGGCTTCACTTTCTCTACTGAACATTTTATAGAGTTTAAAAGAGCTATTTATTGCAATTAATGAATGAATTAATTTATGATCCAGTACTGAAATATATGTATAAGGACCAAGTCTTGTTTCATAAAGGTTTCTTTCTCATCTCCTTGTTGCCACAGTTGCTTTTGGTTTGCTTACTGTGAATATTAAGGCTCTATTTCTGTAAAGGTACCGAATTGATAAATATATCAAATATAATGAATATGATAATACAGATAGCAATCTATAGAATATAGATAGTTACTTTTCAAAGACTATGCCTTCTATTATTAATCTGAACGAGAATTTCAGAATTTATGTAGATATTTGATATGGTGTGCATGACAATATGCAAGTGTATGTTTAATAAATCACATGCATCCGAAACATTTGCTTCTACCAAATCAAATGAAAAACATACTCCTAGGGGCTTCTTTTCACTATGACTTTGTTGAAAAGTTTTGTCCAAAAAAAACAAAAAAAAACAAGTTTTTGACTTTCTCTCTGGTGCTGCAGGGTTAGGCTTTAGGACATATATCTATGGAGTTACATAATGCCATTACGATGCTTTACAATTGTCCTTAAGGATAAGATTGTGTCCATAATATAGTTTATGCCTTTAATTTAAGTTCTGGCTGCAAATGTCCTGAAAATGAATTATTACTAGAGAATTTATCTGAACATAATGTTTAGATACAGTACTATTCAACTTATTACTCAATACCCTGTTGATTATTTGGATAAGTGAATGTCAGTAGTCAGTATTGAAATTGCTAAACAACAAATACTGCATGATCTCTCATTAAAGGCTTTAAGAAATCACCTTGATGCATTAAACACCCCAAGTGCCATTTTCTTTCCTGTGTTGATGTGATGACGTGTGATTTTGTATTGAAACAGGAATCTGGGGTAAAAAACTGAAGGGCTCATACTTTTTTAAAATAGCCAGAAGCCTTTAGTTTGTATCACAAACTAAAGAAATAAAGCAAATGTATACCCTGTTGAAAAAGATGAGTCATACATAGTTGTGGTCAATTTTTAAAGAAAAGACTATACATTTTACATGTGTAAAACTTGTAGGAGAGCATTTAGAAGATCTCAGAGGAAACAAACATTTACTGAAATCCACAAAACTTCAATGTGTATCTTATTTTGTTAAATGTATTATTTCCCACTTCTGAAGTCGCATTTATGAGTTTGTCGTGTTCAAGTGCTTTCTTGTTGGAAAGAATAGGAATCATGGAGGACACTAGGTTCATTTTTGCCAATTTCTTGGGGAAAAGCCAAAATGTATTAAACATATTTAATATCCAATGGATTTTAAAAAAAAAAGTATCATCCCATTCATTGACAAACATACAAACATTACCCACTCTATTGTATACATTCACATTTAGACAGTCATCTAGTCATCGAGTTTTGTTCAAATAAGTGCTGTTTTCATTGTGTAAAATACACACAAAATGCATCAAATGGTTATTTATATACAGTACGTATACATGACTGTAATGGCAAGAAAAATCTATGTATATGTTGTGGGGAAAATTAACTAATAAGTCACTAGAGCAATAGTTCTTGTAGTAAAAGCTTATGGTTCGCCCAATTCGGATATTAACATTATGTCAGAGTTTCCCAGTTGTAAATATGACTTGAGAGGCAATAAAAGGCAGCATAAATGGTTCTCTTTTTGGCCAAAGGTCAGAGGTCATACCCCGCAAATTATAGTATGCATGTGGTGAGTAATGGTTTGCCTACAACTAATCTTTTTTTTTTTTGTCAAAAATATTAGCTTTTTGTGTTATTAGCCAGTGATCCTATAGTACTTTGTGTTTAAAATGATATGCAGCTACCATTTGTGCAGTAAATGCAAATATATTGTAAACCACAGAACTAAGTTTAGTTCACATCACTAAGTTCAGTTTTAAATCACTGGCACAAAAAGAAAAAAAAAAGTACTCTTCATCTGAGCATTTTGACTCACTGTGATAATGAATTAGTCAAGTCAAGGTGCCTTTCTAATACAATGATTCAAGGTCTTCATTAAATCTTGAAACAATTTTATTTGAAGGACTGGCAGCTGCTAGAATATGCCTAATAATATGGCCAGGAAGGACTGAAATGTGCAGGGCAATATCTGATGTTGATAACATTTTATCAACATCACTTTTGGAGAACTGATGCCACTGTTAAAGCAGAAAATCTAAATTCTATGCATTACCTCCCTTCAGCTTCACTAGAGGTGCTGTGCTCAAGATGACCCTCACATGTGCAGTTGCTTCCCCCTCACGACTCAAACTCAGCGTGACATTTAATCTGTGTGCCGGGCAGAGGCATGATCACCACTGCTCCTCATCCCTGGCATTGAGAACTTTGTGATTTCACATCATTAAAGTGCCATTCAGAGGAGGCAGCAAGCATGAACTCAGTCGCACTGTACTGGAACCAGAGAGAGAGACAGAGACAGTGGGAGGAAAGAGTATATTATTTAAACAGAGACTTTGAGTTGCAGACAGTCTTCAGAAGCCTTTGATTGACTGCTACTGCAGAGAGGCATTGACGCAGAACCAAGCGTGATAGAACAGGATGTTATGCTGAACACAGAAGAAACGGATATACCGTAATCTGCAGAGAACTTTCCTAGCTTCAAAGTCAACATGTAATGATGTCCACAACCCCATTTGTTCTTGTAATATGATGTGATACTGAATATTATATTAAAGTACTGTATGAAAGGTGTTTTGGATCAGGAATGGGGTTTAAAAAGGCCAGTTTTGATTTCATATTGACTTGTTGTGTGCTTATACTGAGTTTGAAGGACAGCCAAAACATCCAACAATCAAGATAATCTTGAATACATGGCCGATGTCCACAACCCCATTTGTTCTTGTAATATGATGTGATACTGAATATTATATTAAAGTACTGTATGAAAGGTGGTTTGGATCAGGAATGGGGTTTAAAAAGGCCAGTTTTGATTTCATATTGACTTATTGTGTGCTTATAATGAGTTTGAAGGACAGCCAAAACAACAACATCCAACAATCAAGATAATCTTGAATACATGGCCTTCAGGTCATCACATTTTTACATTCTTGAAAATAAAAGATGGTCATTGCAGCCAAAATGGTTACACTGGTGAATCAATGAACCCAAACTCAGATAGTCTTGCACTATTAAGAATAAAGTTCCCAAACGTTTTGTGTATGTGTGTGAATTGTGAAGAACTTTTAAGAATTTTTTTCCATGCACTATAAATAACCTTTTTTTTTTTTTGGGGGTTTGGAAAGGCTTCATGGATGTTAAATGTTACTCATGGAACCGTTGGTGCCAATAAAAGAAGTCAGCAGTCATCTCACAGTACAGATCCGTTAAAGGGGTCCTATTATGCTCTGTTCCAGCTTTGATGAAGGTCCGCCTTCCGAAAAACAAAATGTGTTGTGATTGGTTAGCTGTCCC